GCCCTGGGGTTTTCTTCTGCTGGAGCAGCTGTTGTCTGGGGCTGATGAGAGTCATAGTACCGTACATCTGGAGGGCACCAGGTTGAGAAGCTGCTGCATGCAGCAATAACATCCCTTCCAGTCTCCAAAATCCTATTATTTTACCCCTTTCAACATTTCGCAGATGGACCCAGAAACCTGCCAGCATGATCAGAGGAGATCCCGGCTCATTTCCACGCTCAGCTATATTGCTCACCAAGTGACCTTGTGCTAATTACGGTCTCTCAGACTGACTTGCCTGCCAGAACTGTGGTAAGGCAAAAACAGGAGGGCGGGGGGCGGGGGGGGCGGGGATGAGAGAAGCACATATGCTGCCTTAAACTTCTCTGAGAAAAGGTGGGACAGAAACAGAACTCAGTTCTCCTACCAGGAACTGATGCTTGAACACATCTGTTACACATTGCTGAAGTTTCTATCCTGCCTGGTCTTCATTTAGTTTGCAATAGTCTGTCCTCCCGTGATTTAAACAGAGCGCACGTTTCTTCAGTTGAAGAGTTCCCTGGAAAACCTAATTCAGAGTACACTAGGCTTTCCCAGCAACCATATCTGCAGTGGCAGGCATTACATGTTGCCTCATGTTCATGGATTTTTATGTGGGAACAAAGACATACAACCCCTTGCTGAGACCTAATTTGTAGTTGACTGGAGGAGAAAACTGAATCTGGAAAGATGAGATTGACAGCTCAACCCACTGCATGCATCAGAAGGAAGGGCAGGCTGCAGCTTCTGGCGTCGGAATAATGGGTTTTACAAGTATAGGAACATCCCTAGTTCGCTTGTGAGAAACTGAAAAGCATGCGCTTTTGGTACAAGCCCTTTGGCGTAAGTCTTTTGGCAGGAGTTCTCACTCATAAATTATAAATCCTGGCTTAGCCAAAATCCACACAACAGGATAATGAAGTGGCGAGATGTGACAATGCTGCTAGTTCAGATAACTCTTTAATTTCGGAACACGGATTATGTATTAAGTTTGCACCTCTGCATTCCACACGCTCAACTACTCCTCATTCCACAAAACCGGAAAACTGTCTTACTGTTTTCTTCTGTACCCCTCTTTCTGAGTCTCAACCTTGAACAGGTTTCCAAAATGTTTGAAGTTCAGCAGGTCATTAATACAACTACTTTTTCGGGGCCAGGGAATGTTGCTGAGGCATTATCAAAGAAGATACCTAGGAGATTAAAAAATAAAAATAGGGACGTTCTGAAAACTGCCTGGAACGAAAGGAAATGAACAGGTCTAGCTGCCTCTGTGACTACAGTGCCCCCTTAAGGAGCCCGATGCATTAAAACTGGCTTTTTCTGTTCTCATTGTTCAGAACACAGGAAAACAGAAAGAAGCTACTTTGAAAGACTAACTGGCATTTCCTGTTACAAAAGAAATAGAAAGAAATTATAATTGATTCTGGCAAAAGAACAAAGAGAGAAAATGCAGCGTTTCATGATCTGCAGCCATCAGGGTTGTCAACACGTATTCCCCCACCTTTGCTAACTGCACCAAAGGGCAGAAGTTCAACAGGTGAATCTTTCACAATCCACTCCAGCTTCACTGCAGGCATTCATATTTCATCTGCTGAATTGCTGTTTCATGTTGAACACGTCAGTGTAAAAGAGCACAAATAGCAGAGGAGGAGTGAGATTTCAGGAAAGGTAGGATCATGTGGTAGGTAAAGCCCTTACCTTCTCCAGCAGGTAAGTCCAGGGTGAATTAAATATGGCCAGGAAAAAACACTCACTCATCCATATCATACCTAATGCCGCCCTTTCTCCAAGAACAATCTGAATGGTTCTTCCTTACTTCCCTCTCATTTTATTCTAACAACAATCCTGTGTAACAGATTAAGAGAAGCTCAAAAAGAATGAATGAATGTTCTCGGGTCATTTAGTGGCTGTGCTCCATATTTAATCAGGTCACTTAAAAAGCTAGTGGTTGCATTCACACAACATGTTAACCTGGACGGTGATTAATGGGTAGAGAAATACTGATGGGGACGGAGGTGGGGAATAAGAGTGGGTTGGTGGGGAGGGCCAAAATAGGAGTGGGTTGAGCCAAAAACAAACAGTGGGTGGAGCCAGCGAGTAGAGTTTGCAAAACTGGAAAACTGAATCTCACTTTCTCTTCTGTGTCACCCCATTCTTTCCACTGCTGTTCTGATTCTGGCATCTCTCTTTGGCTGCATCTGTTTCTCAAGACACACATTCCCCTATCCAGGCTACATCTAACCACTGTGAAAGAGGCCCAAAATGGGAAGAAGAAAAATGGAGGAAGGGTTGTTCATCTTCCCTGATGATCCTTCCTGTTGTTGGGGATGGAGAGTGCAAACAACCATTTTAGAAGTCCTCTGCCATCAATCTCTGAATAAGAGCACCCACCAGGTGTACCTGCACATGAATCAACCATAGTGCGCAAGAGTTTCCATGCACTTGTCCATGAAAGTGATATGGAACGAGGGGTCCCCAAACAGAGTAAACAGAGAAGTAGGATGACTTCAGGAAAATATTACATTAAAGGCACTGAAGGACAGCCAGGATATGTTTGGGGAGGGGGGCAAGAGGGAGAATATTGGCAACTTTAGTAACTGTCTGATCTCAAGGATTAACATCCAACTCCATGATATAAGTCCTTCCCTGGCCGGGAAAGTAGCCAGGCATCTTTTCCTCTCCCTAGGAGATACATTAAAAGGAGGTGTGGAATATAAATGTCTTCTTCCTGCATACCTGGACAGCATTTGCTATTTGGTCTTCAGCCCAGAACATATCTACCTTGGCTGGGTTGTGAATATATGGAGCAGTCTCATGCGGAGATCAGCTGGTCCTCTGAGCCCCGGGTAGCCTGCTCTGCCAGATAGCATCTCCAGTGGATAAAACAGGACGCTTCCCTTCACCTGCTACAATTGGGTTTTTTCAAACAAGAGATTCCAGGATGGAAGCCAGACTCTAGCACGCCAAGCAGGTTCTTTAGCCTGCTGCCACAATCCCGTCCCAAAGAGATGTCCACTCTGGAATATGCGCAGGAACGCTCCAAAAGGAAAGAGCATCTCTGAATATATGCAAAATGTACTAGCACACTCAGGAGGGATCACAATCCTGGCCGTTCCTTTCAACATCGAAGGTCGGAGTTCCCAGTCAAATGGTATGTTCCCAGTGATGGTGGATACACAATACACCTCTCACGAGACCTCCTCCTCCCATTTAATCCATTTAATTAATCCACAGCACCTCTGGAACCCTCTACAATTCCCTGCACCCAATTCCAGCTCTCCCCAGTCTGGCGTTTTTCCTGAGGGGTTAAACTACAATCCTCATCATCCCAAGCCAGTATGCCTATTGCATGAGGCTAATGGGAGCTGTAGTCCAACATATCCCAAAGGGCACCAGCTTGTGGAAGGCAGCCCTGACTAAACTCGAGCTGTTTTCCCAGTGCTGCACTTCTGTTCTTCCTTGGCTGTCTCTCGTTTTTCTCACTTACAACCCCTTTGGGGCAGTGTCCTGTCTCCTCATTCTTCATACAGCGCTATGAATGCTGAAAACAAAAGGCTGAGAAGAAGTCTCAGCTGGATCCGTCAAGATCACAAACTCCCCCGTTTCTCCTTGCTGAAGAAGTCCTAATAACACCCATGTACACCAAGTAAGTAAAACAAGTGATTCCATTGCTTCCCATATACTCAGTCCCTTAAACCTTGACATAACTCATTTAACCAGTTAACCATCTTTGCAAATAACTGAAAGAGGGGTTAGTTGGTTTGAGGAGGAGGAGTTGAGAAAGACCCTCACTGAAGCTGCCAGCATCATGGGAGTGGCTTTGGGGTGTAGGTAAGGCTGCTCCCCTCCCATCCTGCCATCACAGTCTTTTTCCTCAATGACAGTCCAGCCCAACCCTGTCCAGCCAGTTCCCCACCCTTAGGATTCCCATCTGACAGGTATCCTGGACTTCAGCCAAGCACATCTGGAGGGGCAGAGGATGCTTTGGTCCAGAAGACCCAGCTGAAACTGAACTGGGGGGGGTGAGATCCCTGCCAGGGCTGCTCTCCCCCCCTCCCACCGCTAGAGCTGCCCTTCATGGTCCAGCAGCTGTCTGGTCTGCCAGGCCAAGGGAGAGTTGGCGGGGCTCATCTGTCTGCAATCGGGCAGGACAGGTGGCCTAGACGGGGTGCTTCTGAGGCCAGGGGCTCCTCGGGCCAAGCACAGGCACCAAATGAGGGAGGAAGAAGGGGTCCTCCCAGGCCAAAGGCGGAGGAAGAGCCTGCTGGCCCCGCTTGCTCAAGCGCTTTCCTCCTCCTCTTCCCATACTCTGGCGCGTCCATGCCTGGGGCTGCGGCTGGGCTACAACCTGTCGCTTTCCCCATCTCGACAATCCTGCGTGGCTAACACCCTCGTGACACCTTCACAGGCACACGTGGAATGAATAGATGCCATGATTGCACAGCACACAGCACACTGAACCTGGTCCCGGAATGATCCCATTTTCTGGACTTCTACCAACTTAGCACAGCGAGGTTCTCACAACCCTGTAAGCCATGAACAGACAAGCTCAAAAATAAACCAGCTGGCCACATTGTACAAATGCAGCTGGTGGGTCTTTAATTGACATGGCAATGTGTGTTGTGTGAATGCTGCCTGCACCTGAGGCAGAAGGCATGTTTGCTCAGGTCTCCACCAAACTTGGTAGTCAACCTTGTGAACTATAACTCCCATGGTGTTGGTAGGGGGTGCTGGATCTCTGGTCCAATGCATACAGAGGGTCCACATGGCCCTCTGTGGCTGGGGTTGATCGGCATTGTAGTCCAAACTGTCTGGAGAACACTGGCTCGGGAAAGCCAGGACTGCCAAACCAGGAGGTCTGCTCCCTGTCACTGGAGAACACCGACCCTTGGGGTGTCTCTTTGTCTCCCTCTCAAGTTTCAGGTCCTGGATCTGATGGCCCCCATTCCTGGCACCCTCCCCTTCGCCCCCTGCTCACTCACCTGCTCTCTGCAGAGTCCACGACCCTTGAAGGAGCACCAGCAGGAAACCAACGACTCCCCAGGGCATCTCTGGACAGTGTCACCCCTGCTCTGGGCACCAAGGCTGCCCCACAGCTGGAGGGCGTGGGAACCGCCAGGATCCCAGTTGGCAACTAGTGCTGGGAACTAGACCTGCAACCGTCTCTGAGCTGTCACAGTGGGATCAAGTGGGTCAGCTGGCTCAGTGGACAATGTCCCCGCCTGCCATGGTCCTGGAGACCTGCTTCCGCTGTCCAGGGTGGTTCGGTCGTCGGAACTATGCTCCTTCTCCTCCGGGTTTCTGAGGGGTAGCGCGGCGGAGGCTGTCCTCTCCCAGTTCGAAAGAGCGGCAGTCGACACGCATCTGGAGCGTCTCCTCGGGAGTCAGCAGCTTAACGAGCGCCCTCCTAACTCAGCCACGGGTCGAGCTCGCCGTTCCGGGAGGCGCTTGGGACCTCTCTGGGTCGGAGATCATCCTGGCGGCGGGACTGAGGACGCGCCTCGGAGACGGGATTGCGCCTCGCCCTTCTCGGCTTCGCTCCCAAGCTTCAGATCTCGAATCGGCTGGATCTCCTGCCAGAAGCGGGATGCTTAGGGATAGTTCCCCCCGTCTCTCCTCCTCCCTTCCCCGCCTCTCTTGGCTTCCGACCAATCCCTTATGCTCCCCTGTCGCTCCTGGAGTGAATCCGGATATCTCCGGATCCCCCCTCTTCCGAGCGGCTGGCGGGTCAGGCCAGGTGTCATCCGCCAGGTGTCATCCCCAGATGGGTGCCGTCTATCCCTCGGGGAATCTCGCTCGGCGCCTATTGGACGGGGGCGTCCAGGGGAATCCTCCCAGCCGCGGCCGCCGCCGCCTCCGGAGCCGATCCCCGGAGGACCAAACCCGAGGGGAGCCGCACCGTGGCGCTTGTTTACGTCGGTCGGGTGACGCAGCTCAGGCAGCCGGAGTTGTGGTCTTATCGGCTGGGAGAGGGAG